TTGACTAATTTTTAAAGGGTAAAAGGATCAATATACATTTTTCATATAAAAGAATTAAAATAATTAAATAAAGGAACCAAGAAATAAAAGAAAAAGAATTTACCATCTTTGCCACTCCCACTCCCACCCCCACCCCCACCCCCACCCCCGATCCAAATCCAAATCCACCATCGTACAATCGTCGCCGCTGCAGCAAGACCACAAATAGAATCACATCACAACAACCAAATCCATCAGTCCTCAGCCATCCACCACTTGAGGCAATTTTAGAAATTCAAGGGTAACAAAAATTCACCTTCCCCTTCCAATTTCTTCTTGCAAGAGTAACATAAATTCTATTCCCACTCAGAGATCATGGTCGGGAACTTTCTTCCAGTTGCCAACTATGGACCTCCTCTCCGAAGATCGTAGACAACTGTGGACCTCATCTTCGAAGACTTTGGACAACCGTGGACCTCCACCCTCACACTGTTGTGCAAATCCCCCACTGCATCCAATAACAAGTGCTTCTTCTCAATCACTGGTCAGCCACTCCAATCCCCTTTAATCTTTAGGTTAAAATGCAGTATCTTTGGAGGGTCTTCACCATCCACAGCCTTCAATCCCTGCAACTCCATCGTGAACCGCGACACCATCTTGCTCTTCCCATCCTCCTTTACAAGCGCAATACTTGACTCGCTCTCCACATGGGCCCATCGCGACGTCCCCACCACTGTTATGTAGGACCTTAACGACATCCTACAAGGTATCACCATCAAATTTCCCTTCTTCAAAAAGTTATCCCTAGACACAAACACAGTGTTCGGGCAAGGCTTGAGGCCATCTTCACCTCACCGTGGACCTCTTCTCCAAAGACCGTGGACAACCGTTGTCCTCCACCCCTTACAACCGTGGACCTCTTCTTCGAAGACCTCTCAGCCTTTCCACACCTGAAATGCGGTCTTCTCATCCTCACCACCCACCGTCTACTCTGGATGCTGTTAGATTCCAATATCCCCATTGTTTTTATTTAATTTTTTTGGTTTTTTATTTAATTATTTTAATTCTTTTATATGAAAAATGTAAATTGACCTTTTTACCATTTAAAAATTAGTCAAAAATTGTGTTGACCATTGACTTTTGGTCAACTAACAAATGAACTAACGGATTCCATCGGATTAAACTCCAAATACTAATTTTTGAAAGGTTTGGCACTGTAGGTAGCAAAAATGAAATGTTTTGACTAAGTTTGCTACTAAATGAAAGATTTGGTACCGCTGCTACAATTATCCCTAATTTAAAGTCACCAATTAAGTGCTATAATTGGTCATTTTTGGAGGTTAGAAGATGACCAGGTGTGTGCAAGTTGCAAACATGAGACTTTTCCTTTTTTCTTTGGAATAGTAAAAATAAAAATAAAAAATTAGGAAAATCTATGTCAAAATATAGTGTGTGTGTGTATTGATAAAATTAATACAAATGAAAAAATATATTTTAAATATGCCACGCCACGTCTAGTAAAAATAGAGAGTATATTGATATTTACTCCTTAGTTGGAAATTGAGTTTTTTTGTTCTCTTTCTAAAGAATTTTAATTTGTTAAACAATCGTCACAAAATATACAACAAAAACTTAATTATTTATCTACAAATATTGCATGAGAATATCTTTATTAATTTAATTATTGTAAATAATGCTGTTGTGTGACCAACTAGCAGTTGCCTCGTGCACAATACAATGTGGTTCCCACTAATTCGTCTTCAATATCTGGATGGTCATTGGACTATTATCCAAGAGTAATGCTACTTGCAGTCGCTCACTGCAGCAGTCGCCCTATGTGGCACACACATGGCATGTAATTATTTGATACATTAATGTGGTAGTTTTTTACCACATTAATGCATCAAATAACTACATGCCATGTGTGTGCCACATAGAACAACTGCTACAGTGAGCGACTGCAAGTAACATTATTCATTATCCAAAACTTGCATGGATTTGATGCTAACAGATTCATGGTATTTGATCAATTTAATGTAATTCCACTGGTGACTGGTCAATCCCAATCCAACAATCTTAGTCCATCTTCTTATGAATTTTTTTTTTATTGATGGACAATCTCGATAAATTTAGGATCCGTTTGTTAGGATTTTAGATTTTGTTTATATTTCTATTTCAGTTTCTTGTAGAAGAATTTCTTGAAAACGTTACATTAGCTCAAATTCTTTTATATATGTTCAAAATTAACTTCTTAATCTCTAAAATAACTTTTAACTTTTAAATTTTTTATCAAACTGATCCTTAATCATGTCGATAAGTTAAATTTGAAATCTCACGCATATTACCTACCAGTCTTGCAAATTTTGAAATTCCACGCTCACATGAATAAGGAGTAATTAGTATCACATGTCTCCACCTACACGTTGGATCATCAAAATTCATATAGACTATTCAATAAAATGAATAACCCAAAAATTTCAAGTTAGTTTTAGATGTAAATCCCTT